AGAAAGAGAGAAAGGAAGGAAGGAAGGAAGGAAGGAAGGAAGGAAGGAAGGAAGGAAGGAAGGAAGGAAGGAAGGAAGGAAGGAAGGAAGAAAAGATGCAGTCCTTTGCTGGGCATTAGTATCACACATTTGTAATCCTAGCTACTCAGGAGGCTGAGAGCTGAGGATTATGGCTTGAAGTCAGCCTAGATGGGAAATTGTGTGATATTCTTATCTCCATTTAACTCCAAAGAGCAGGAAATGGCATTGGGTTTCAAAGTGGTAGAACACTAACCTTGACCCCAGGGACAGTGCCCAGGCCCCGAGTTCAAGCCCCATGACTGGCAAACACACGCAAAATTTCCTTTTCAAAAGAAAGATAATAATGTCTACATCTTGTTTTCAGAGACTCAGTGCAACAACCCTGGGTCTCTCAAATAAATCTTGAAAGAAAATCAGCTTTTTCTCCTCCACACAAGTCTGAATTTTCCAAAGTATTAGGACTATTCCTACAGCTGTTTTTTTCCCCTAAATTCTAAGACTCTTACTGTACTTAGAGGCTTAAAAGTATAGGAAAAAATAATAACCACTTCTCACTCTCTGAACATTCAAAGCCAGATGAAGAGCTTCACAACAAACAGGTCATTTAAAAAAAGATGTCCAGTTATGTAGACACTGATGACTGGTAATAACCTTAAAGTCTTCTTAAGAAATTTAACCATTTCAGCTCAGAACAATTCAATAGAACCATTGAGAAAATCACTCCTTAGGCACAACATGGTTAGAGATATAAAAGAACAAGAAAGCTTAGTGTGTCATTCTGTTTTAAGTCCTCAGTGTATATGTGTTTCATTTATGTAAGTTAAATATGATCCTTGACCCCTCGACTAACACTGACATTAAGATCATTTGGGGAAAGCAGTTCTTATAGCTTTAAGAACAAACATGTATTCTTTATTGCAATCAACATTTTCTAGTCTTATACATGTCTTTTATTGAGCAACTATTTGAATCTCTACTCAATCTGAAAAACCCTAAAAAGGAATCACAAGTCCCACTGTTGCAGCACTGACTAAGACTATAAGAAGAAATGCGCTGTTTTCAGTAATCTATCAGAAGTTGCTTCATGCAGGAAGGTTAGTATACAAGTAGTTGATGTTTGTTCATGTCATGTAAGGAAAGCTAATATATATACAATATATACTATTTCATTGCATTATCTATAAAGTGAATACATTTTTTTTCTTTCACTTTAAGAGTTTCAAGCTACTTCCTGGAAGAAACATTCATGGGGTATTTCATAATTAATAAATGCAAAAAAATGACTGAAAGAATTCATAGTTTTGATGATAAGGTTAAGCAAAACCTCGAAATGATTTTGGTTAAAAGACAACATGACACACCAAGATGCATCTTAGTAAGGTTAATAACTTCATGCTACGGCAAATAGTTTTATTTAATGGCTACCTAACCCATTATTTAGCAAAGCCATTTGTAAGATGAGCACATATTACAAATATTATTTTTGTCTGAAAAGAAATGAGACTACTATGCTATAAAAATAACACTCACAGATTCCTTTCCCATCTTCTTTTGCAGTCGTGTTTGCCACTGCACAGCTTGCATGACAATGGCTTCCCACCTTCTTTCGAGATTTACAATGATCAGCTGCATGGGCTGGTGGTCTGCATTTAGATTACAGGTGTCCCGGTCATCCAAAAGATGCTGGCACAATCGCAGAATGGAAGCCACTCCTCGACGTCGCTGCTTGATTTCACGACAGAGGGACTGTAACACAGAAAGACCGATTTATGAGGTTTTAATAGGGCAGAGTCTTTGAAAACATGAAATACTCTCTTTCACCATAACAAGACTGAGATGATGGACTCCGTTTCAAACAATAGGGCAAGAAAAAGGGTTACGAAGTCTCCATCAACCAAAAGGCATATATACTAGCCAACTAGTGCTAGCAAATTTAGCTCTTTTCCTCTTTCTCCCCATTTTTTTTGTGCTGATCCTGGAGCTTGTATTCAGGGCCTGGGTGCTGTTCCTAACTTTTTTTTTTTTTACTCAAGACTAATGCTTTACCACTTGAGCTACAGCTCCATTTCTGGTTATTTGGTGGTTAATTGGTGATAATAAGCTCACAGGTCTTTACTGCCTGGCTGGCTTCAAACTAAGACAATCAGATCTCAGCCTTCTGAGCAGCTAGAAGCCACTAGCAACTGGCTTTGTCTTCCCTTTTTTAACTGACATTTTTCTGTGACATGTAGTGTTCCATCTTGACATATATACATATATATATACAGATATACATATATATAATTAACAGTTTCTAATCTAATAAAATAAACCATTTAGGTCATATGAATGCCAAATAAACAGACTGGCATGCTTTAGTTCAAGGGCAAAGGAAACAAAAAAGATAGAATGATCCTCTAAAAGAAAATGGAAATGTTTTAAATGCATCCCTAGATTCTTTGGAGGCAAAAAGTTCACTACTCTATTGGCTGAGAATAAATAAGCTTGCAAAGAATCTTTATATATAAAATCTATTATCTGAAAAAAGATAAGCAATATTTCTCTCCCAAAGCTTGATTAACAAAGCAATAATGCTCTGGAAACAGAAATTAAGATACTGGATTATTACTACACTATTTGTTGGTTGCTGTGTTTCTCCTAATAGACATCCACACTATTTAAGAAGGATATGCATGCATCAAAATAACATTTTGCCCCCAGAAGCATTTGTATTGCTGCAGTGACCCTAAGCTGAACAATTCAAGCAAAATAGTGGGTACACATGTCTAAAAATATTATATCCTTTCTTTGCCTACGGATAGTGTGTAAGTGATATTCTAATTTAAAGCCTTCAGGAGAAATGATGATTATATCCACAAACATCACTGAATTACTAATCTCCTTCTATTGCCACAATTGGACTGTTCTAACAGTTAACAGATTGCTTATTAATCAACAAGGGTAAACAAGACAATGCAATTTCATTTAGTGTGAGAGTTTTAATGCCTGAAAGTATTTGTGCTTAAAATGTAAATCTAGATAAGGCTTCATTAGTAGGAGTCTTAAAATGATTAAGTGCAGCTCATTGAAATATGCATGGAGTGGGGTAGTAGATCAGCAGGTGGACATTTCATACAGATGTTCCACTTATTGATATAATGCATGCTATGGCCATTTAAATGACCCTAACTCAGTAATAGCTGGAATTCTATTATTTCTGTAATGAGAGAACCCTGTACCTTTAATATTTCTGAATTTTAAATAAGGTGAATGACAAACTCCTAAACCTCTATTTATGGCAAAATATGACTAGAAATTTTATTATTCAATCTTTACCAATGCAGTAGTTTCAGTTATGTTTCCAGAACATATCCGTATTTATTTTCCCCATGTTCATTGCTATTTTCCTATATAACTCCTTGAATAGCCACCAGGTCTGACAAATTTCTTTACAGATACCATTTGGTAGTTCAGTGCTGAATGAGAAGAGACTCCTAGATATTTAAAGATAAATTTGAGGGACTACTAAAGTAACTAGCTCTGTTCCCAGCTCCATTGTTCAAATGAGCCCTACAAATGTGCCTAATGAAGACTTGGGCTCTTGTTTTGTTATTAATTTGTTAAAAGAAGCAGGTTAAGCCAGGTGCCCATCCCTCATGCCTATAGTCCTACCTTCTCAGGAGGCCAAGGATGGCAGTTCAAATTCAGGCAGGAAGTTAAAGTCTGTGAGACTCTTGTCTCCAATTAACCACCACAAAGCTGGAAGTGGAGCTATGGCTCAAGTTGCAGAGTGCCATCCCTGAGCAAAAAAGCTAAGGGACACCACTCAGGCCCTAAATTCAAGCCTCAGGATTGGTGCGTGTGGGCATGTGCACGCACACGTGCACACACCACACACACACACACACACACACACACACACACAGCTAGAAAAAGAGTATTTGTTTTGTGTCATGGAACTGGATTTTGCAAACCTCTCTTTGAAGTTAACTGAAATACCTGCATTTTTCAAGCCAAAAATGTCAAAGTTTTTAGCTGAAGGAAAACCACAATGGATTGAACTAAGTGTGCACTAAATAACCAGATGATTCCTACCCTCTACCTTAATGAAAATGAGCCAAGAAGAATGTGTTTAAAAAAATATAAAAGCAGCAGGAGCCACAGTGGCTCAAGCCTCTCATCCTTGCTACTTGGATAGTGGAGATTGAGGGGTCATGGTTTGATGCTAACTCTAGGCACAAAGGATTTCTAGAGAGTCTATCTCAATCAGATGGTATGCACCTGTTATCCCAGGTAACAGGAAAAGATCGGTGGCTGGCATAGTGGCATGTATAGTGGCATGTGTGCCTCACATCTACTCCCAGGGAAACACAAAGAGGAAGATCACAGCCTAGGCTGGTCTAGCCACAAAGTGAAAGTCTACCTGGAAAATAACCAATGCAAATAACGGCTACAGGGTGGCACAAGTGCAGAGCACCCACCTAGCAAGTGTGAGACTCGCAGTTCAATCTCCAGTCCTGGGGGAGGTGGGAAGCATTTACTGTTAACATTCAATATCTGATTTGGGGGGGTCTTGAAATGCTCCATTTTTTCTCATTTTAAGTATCTAATACTCATTATACATTTTAAGTTAATAATTTATCTTATACGTGCACTCTTACAAAGAGAAAAACAGACAATTATACATGGTCAAGATGTGTTTTAGTACTTTTATACCTAGAGAGGTAATTGATAAAAAATAAAATTCTTCCATACAAATTTGTTTCCTTGACAACCATTAAAATATACATATTTATTTATAATCACACACATATTAAGTAAAATCAGTGGATTTGCTGGCAATGTTTTTAGACTAGTTAGTTTATATTATTTCCATGATTATGCACAGAAAAATGTTAAATATAACTAAAAAGGAACAAGTGATTACTGTAACCTGTTTTTTTTTTCAGCTTAGATTTCAGAGAAATGTACTTTTAAACAGAAACACAAGTAATAATTTAGTAGAAACCAAGCTAAGCTAAGTAAGACAGAAATCAGTCAGACTCAGCCCTCCTTAACCAGCTCACCTATGTACCTTCAATTTGCTAAGCACTCTTTTAGGAATGGAGGCCTCTCAAATGTGAGCAAGTTACTGCTCCTTCCTTCAAATAGCTGAGAGCCTTCTGGAAGTAAGTTAGATAAATATATATAGTAGTAAGTATAATGCAGATAGAGAAGCTAATTAGCATACGAGTAAGTTGCTACTAGGAGAGCTGAACAAATCTTTAAGAAAATGGTGAGAATCAGATAATGCAAGACAGTTGATAATGGTTATAAGGATAAAAGGGTATAAGGATATAAGAATAGTAAGTTAAAAAGAAGCAAGTAGCTTAGAACAGTGTGTCCAGGAACTTAAAAGAATAAGCTGGAAAGGAGATAGGACATTTTAAAAAAGTTAAAAATGTTTTTCATTATGTTCCATTTGAAGCATTTTCCTAATATGCAATCTTTTTTTTTTTGCCAGTCCTTGGGCTTGACCTCCTCAGGGCCTGGGCACTGGCCCTGAGCTTCTTTTGCTCAAGGCTAGCACTCTACCACTTGAGCCACAGTGCCACTTCCGGCTTTTTCTATTTATGTGGTACTGAAGAATCAAACCCATGGCTTCATGCATGCAAGGCAAACACTCTACCACTAAGCTACATCCTCGGCCCATTATGCAATATCTTTATTGATTCCATGCATATTTATATTGCCTTCTCTGAAACTATGAAACAAGAAGAGACAAAGGAAATTTAGAACGGAACAAAAGAATACTTACTAGTATGTTGAAGAAAGGGATTCCAAAATGCTATATTTAGATAACCTAATCATTTCATAGTTTTTTGGAAATTTCTTTTGCAAGACTATCTCTGTTCGTATGAAAGATATATCTTAGCATCACCTCCAACATAATTGTTGGCATAAAGTTTGCTATGTGCTACCTTCAAACTTTTAATGACTTATTTTTCCTCATGTTTAAAAAAGACAGATTTGTAATAAAATAAAAAGTATCAGAAAAGTAAAAATTTTATTTTTTCTTTACAGTGATCAAATTACAATGCACTAAACACATTTATCTTGGGTCACAGTATAAGAGAGTTGCTAACTTAATGGTTGTGTTCCTTTTACATACATTAGCAGTCAATCTGATTTTAAACCATAATGGTATTTCACAAGATTTTAGGATCTTTTGGATGGATTGCTTTAGGTCTTGACCTCCTCAGTCAATTTTTTCAAATGTTTAAATAGTGCATTTTACTGAATAAAATCATTCTTGCTACTGATTTCATTCACTTTTTTTAACCACTGAAGGTAATATTTTCAATGTTTGCATCTTATTTTTCTCTATATGTTGAATGTGTGCTTAGATGCAAACATTTTACCTTAAAGGTTTGTACTCATTTGTATGCACATATACTTGTCATTATAAAACTGTTATTTACTTCACAAAATGATGTAAACTTACATAAAGGAATAACTATAATTAGACCATGAACAGACATAATAAATTAATAGGAGAACCAAATAAAGACAAATGAGAAGAAAAATATTTCAAAACCACCACAACTGAGTATATAAACAGAAAAACAGAGAAGCAAACCTAACTTAAAATCCAAAGCAACTTCTCATCAAATATCTCTTTTATTCAACATGTCAATTTAACATCATTAGGGAAGTCAATATGAACAAAGTGATAGGGCTTCAGATGATCTGTTAAACTCTTTAGAAACTAAAAAGCATTCAATTCA